TCTCAAGTTTCTAGATGGAAGAAAAGGTCACATAAAGTAAAGGAACAAGTAAGGAAGCCACAAAACTGAAACAATACCAGTCTCCATAGTTCACTCTAAAATGTTGAAATTGCCAAATAACACAACAGGGATAATTTCAAATGACATAGATGGTGACAAAGGGTCCTTGCCTGCATCCCTCTCCCACTGTGAACACCAAGCGTTCTGTTGGCAACAGGGCAGCCCCTCTGCAGGGGTCTCTCATCCCCTGTCCAGGTATCCCGGGAGGTCGAGGTTACCGAAGGAAGTTCATTTTTGTTGTATGATTGTCCCCTGTCTTTGGTTGGATGTCAGGTCTGGGCACTGACTCCACGACAGAGGAGCAGGAAAGGAGAGGCAAGCGTGTGGCTCTGAGCTGAGATTTGTCGTGTCTCCTGGGGGCCCAGGTGCAGGAACGTCACCCTCCAGTGACGACCCTACGGCCCACGTGGGCAAGAGCCAGGGGAGGAGATGCCAGCCTGCCTGGCCAGGACCCTGAGCTCTCAGGACCAGGCCCACAGCGCCCCCTGGGGGACTCAGATTCCTCCTCCCCTCACTTCACACCACAGCCTCCTGGAAGGGCTTCCTCACACTTGCAGGAGGGTTATTCTGATGTCACCGCCCAGGGCAGTAGAATGAGTCCTTTCCGTGGAGTTTGGGGCTGGTCATTAATTTTTCCAAGTAACTTTGACTTCAGACCTTTTAATGCAATGCTGATAAACAAATGAATTTCAGGATTCCCTGAGGTCTGAGTTTGCTCTGCCTCGCTCCTGGGTTCACTATCAGAACACAACCACCTGAACCAGGTTCCAGGATTCAAAATCCCAGATGTCCGTGGTTTGTACCTGGTCACAGTTCTGTCTGAGTTTCCCTCCCGGGTTGATATGTGGTTGATGTTGGTTTTGCATGGTCACTAGGTACCGTCCCACCCGGAGTGCACCGCTCTGTCCCTTTCTCTGCCTTTTCCAAGACAGTATGAGGTTCTCAGGGATAACAGATCTTTGCTTGATCATCTCCAGGGGTTCTCATTTACCCTCAAACATGGTCCTCACGGCACGTTTTCCGTCACATATTTAAAGATTAAAGATGTTTTGAGTCGAATTTTGTAAGCTTTCTATATTACATGCTTGATATAAAAGATTATAACTATGAATGGGAATCTCATCCTTGTCAGGGCTCCTCCTTCATTCCTGACTGAGAAACCCTTCTGACTTGTTATCTGATCTTCACTGGACACGGTTGACATGCATTTGTTAGACTCCATAGATTCAATGAGGGTGGGTTTATAAGGTCTGTATCCAAAATAGTGACATTTTTCCAATATCATCTCAAACAAGGAACCAGGGAGGGAGAAGTGGGAAGGTCATGAGGGGAAAAAGGAGAAAAAGAGCAAGTGAGGAGTCTGAGAGCTGCGACCTAAGGGGGAGGGCCTCCTTCACCTGGAGAGGAAGGCTCCTAGGGTGCAGTGTCCAGAGAAAGGGAGGCACCCAGCTTCCCTAGGGGTCAGGCTTCAAGGCAGAGCATAAAGCTTGGAACACGACAGGGGTGTGCGGGGGACGGGAGAGGCGCCCTGGGGCTCCGGGGCACAGATGCTGCACTTCTGCTTCCTCATCATCCTGCCCAGTACCTGTGAGGGGCCGTGTGTATCTGGGCTCATGGAGATTCTGCTTGGATTTGGAGACCACAGAGAGAAAGGGAGACAGTTTCATGGACCCCATAACGATGGACCAGGATGAGGGTATGAGACTGCCTGGATTTAACAGCACAAGTGGCCGCAGAGACCTAACCCAGCACTGCTGATGTCACCGTCAGGCTCAGGGCAGTGATGGGTCCCACCCTGGAGTAGAGGGCAAACTTTGATCAGACATCCCCATCACACAGGAATTCCTTGTGGCTGTGGTTATTGGTGAGCTGTGTGACACTGAGCACCAGCCTCCTCATCAGGACGGGGTCCAAAGTGATTAGGAGGGCATGTGGGCCCAGTAGGAGCCAGAGAACAGGGCCAAACCTCTCAGTGTTACTCACCTCTGTCCTGGTCACAAAGGCAGAGCTTTGCCTGGAATCCCTTGTCATCATTGCCATGGTGATCCCCGTGTCCCTGATGCTCCCTCTGCAGGAGATGGTGCCCTCGGATCTCTGCTCATCAGGGGCATCACAGGCAGAGGGACACGCGCACATCCTGGGAAGCCCCTGATCCTGACAGTCCAGAGACCACCCCAACTCTGCAATAAGAAATGCTCCAATGGGGTGGAGACAAGAGGAGGGGAGGGGAGGACAGAGCCAGCACCTGTGGGCTCAGGAGAACACTCCCGGGGTTCCCTGCATCCTGCGATGTATCACCAGTGCCCCTCACTGCTCAGGGTCTCTGCTCTGACCCTTCAGGAGTGGAGTTCACACCCTGGGGGATGGTGGGCCTGCTGGGATGGTCCACGGACTCTGCTGAAGACGCATCTGGGAAAGCCTCGTGCTCCTGATCTCAGGTGAGGGAGCTCAGCTCCACGGCTCTCTTGATCACACAGATGATCAGGGCGCACTTCACTAGTGTCAGAATCTGTTTCCATTTTCTGAGACTTCAACAAAACTGACTGAACAATTGGGAGTAGACTTATTATGAACCAGAACGTATCTCAGGCATTAATTGATTCAGGGGAATTTATTTAAAATTAGACAGTTCTCTAAGAACAAGCCCCTGGCAGGCTGAGGTTCTCGTCCCAGTTCCCATCTGCCGGTGTCTCTGTGAGAAGCCCTGTTGTACCAGCCTGCGTGGTCAGAGTCAGCCTCGGCCTCAGGATCCAGCATAGAGATGAATAGTAGCCCTAAATCATCCGAGGCACCTTTGGATCCAGAAAACCCGCAGGGGACCCCGGAGCCTGGATCTTCCTGGAGTCTGAGTGGTAGGACAGAGGACTGAGGAGGCCTCGCTGGCTTCTGCTGGTCCCAGGACAGAGCACAGCGGCGACAGTGATGTCCCTGCTCAGGGTGCAGGGAGCCACAGCGCCACCTGTGGTCTGGGGGGTCAGGGGTCTCCCCACACACGGGCCGTGACACCACTGATGGTCTCAACAGTCCGTGGTTCAGGGCTGCTGATCCAATGTTGACACCCACAGCAGCACCAGGGGATGCTGGTGAGAGAAACCATCAATAAACGGGGGTGGACTCAATACACTTACAACATAAGCTAACAATACAACTATGAATTTAAGATTCTCCAAAAATACCAGATGAAAATAACAGAAAGACTCATGACTCATGAGCGGATCTGAAAATGATCATGTGTCTGAACAAGATGGTGTGATTGTCCTGGAGTATTCTAAATTCCCTTTCCTCTAAATGATCTTACAAGGAGCGGAAGGACTGAGAAGAGCAGATGAGGGATTTTAGGGTGAAAACCTTGGCAGTAAGTTGTGATATACAGCCACAACATTCTTATTCTCACCGTGTGAAATGAAGTACAATTTAATGTCCATTTCTGAGCTGCTTCTGCAATGTCTGGTTCCCACAATGTGCGCTAATTGTGTATGTGTGTCTGAGGCCCAACTCCACCAGCCAAATCCTACAATGTTCGGTTTGGAGCCTATTAAGCAAAGTTCCTCTGATACAGTGGAAAATATGTCATTTTGTGTGTATGAAAATTGTAGATAAGGCAAATTTAAGGCTTAAGGGAAAAGGGAGAATTAGAAGGAATAATACCACATATTCGAAAATACATCACTGTTGACTGTGGCCCACAGCCCAGCCTGGCCAACTGTGCAGACCCTGCGCGCACGTGTGAAAGGACAGTGAGAGGGACCAGGAACAGGCGTGGTGACCTGTGCTCTGTGACCCCACCCGGGGGTGAGCCCGGGAGCTCAGGGTTCACGGTCACTTCCTCCTGCCCTGAGGCCTGCTGTGAGCAGCAGGGCTGAGTCCCAGCTGAGCAGGAACAATCAGCCTTGTCCTTGGGCTGGAGCCCAGAGATGGTCAGGGGACCCCAGCTGACCCAGAGCCCGACAGCCTCGCTGAGCCCCTGAGGGCTGGTTATGACTCCTGTGGTCAGGAGTTCGGGACTCAGCACGAGTGAGACAGCAGCCAACTTGCCCCCTTGGTGCCAACAGTGTTGCTGTTTCCAGGCAGGTGAGTGTGGCTGAGTGTCCACAGAGTCACCGAACCTGGCTGAGTCCACCGTGCCTGAGCCCCGGACACCACGAGGGACAGAGGAGGCTGAGAGCAGGACCTGCTCCCAGTGCAGGAGAGAGGGCAGAGGGCAGTGGGGGCCTCCCAGGCCTGAGATGATGTCAGATGGATCTCCCACCTCGGACCCTGAGATTGAGACAAACAGACCCTGTGTCCCCAGTGATGGGGACACAGATTTTCTGTTTCCTTTGAGACCCTCTCCTGGGAATGGGCTGCTGGAGGGACTCTGAGGACAGAGGGGAGAGGAGGAGCCTCCACGCACAGGCAGCGCCCCTGATGACCTGGACCCAGGGTGGAGCAGCAGCAGCAGAAGCTCCACCAGAGCCTCAGCAGGAAGACCCTAGGCTGCCCCAGCGCCCCCAGTGGGAGAGGAACCTGGTCTAGTTCCCCCAGGCCTGGAGCTCTGGGGGAGCCTGAGAGGCGGTCACAGGAAAGGCAGGAGAAGCAGCCTGGGTCTCAGCTCAGCCCAGGGATGGCCAAGGAGCTGAAGTGTCCTGAATTAGACTCAGCTAGACTATATCTCTCTGGTTCTGACCTGACTGTCAGGGACTCTCTCTGCCAGGACCTGCCTCTGGCATTCAGGGCCTTCTGCTCGATTTTAGAGAATCATATAATATGTGGTTGCCAAAGAAAAGGCTTGTGAATGGGGAAGATTGAAGAAGATCTCAAAGGATTTCCCGGACAAAGTTCCGGGTGTGGGGCTCAGACCCCAGTTTTACATAAAACAGACAACAGAAGTGGCTGCTTTGGCAGAGGATGGCTCAGCCCCAGGAGGCCCATGTCTGGAGGAGAGCAGGTTTTTGTGTCACTTCCCCCCTGGCCTGGACCACTGTGCCACCATAACTACTACTGTCATAAGATGCACAGTAATAATCAGCCTCGTCCTCAGCCTGCAGCGAACTGATGGTCAGGGTGGCTGTGTTCCCAGACCTGGAGCCAGAGAATCGGTCGGGGACCCCCGAGGCTCGACTGGTTGCACCATAGATGAGGGTTCTGGGGGCCGATCCTGGGACCTGTTGGTGCCAGCTCACATAATTACCATAATTACTATAACCAATGTTGCTGCTGCTTCCAGAGCAGGTGATGCTGACCCTCTGGCCCGGGGACCCGGACACGGAGGACGGCTGAGTCAGCACAGCCTGGGCCCAGGATCCTGGAAGGGAGAGAGACAGAGATGGTGACTCGGGGGTCCAGGCACGAGAGCAGGGAGCAGGGTCCGTGAGTCTTCCCAAGGCCCTTCCCCTGTCCCCCCATCCAGTCACCTGTGCAGAGAGCGACCAGGGTGAGGACCAGAGGGGACCAGGCCATGGTGGACACGGTCAGGGCGTCCTGCCTTCTGTGGCCCCACAGCTGAGCAGCGCGTCCCCACGCCGCTCCTTCCCTCTTCATACTGTGAGAGGGGGAGGCTCCTTTCATGCAAATGACCGTCCTCACCCCAACTCCCACAATGCTCTGATGACCTCTGGGACCTGGGTCAGCTTCCTGTGCCTGAGGGAGGCCAGCTGTGGTCAGATGTGGGGCTGTGTCAGGCTTGGGTGTGGGAAGTCACAGCTTGGAACCCTGAGCAGAAAGCACCAGGAAGTACCAGGGGACTGGTCTCTGCTCACACATGTCTAGACACTCAGGAAAGGCCTCCGATCGCCCCCTGGTGTCCTGGCACAAACACATATCCTGACCTGGTGATCAGAGCTCTTAAGAGTCTGATCCTCTACATAGAAAACCCTAAAGACTCTACCAGAAAATTACTAGAGCTAATCAATGAATATAGTAATGTTGCAGGATATAAAATTAACACATGGAAATCCCTTGCATTCCTAATGATGAGAAAACAGAAAGGGAAATTAAGGAAACAATACCATTCACCACTGCAACAAAAAGAATAAAATAGATAGGAGTATATCTACCTAAAGAAACAAAAGACCTATACATAGAAAACTTTAACACACTGATGAAAGAAATCAAAGAGGACACAAATAGATGGAGAAATATACCGTGTTCATGGATTGGAAGAGTCAATACTGTGAAAATGAGTATACTACCCAAAAGGATCTATAGATTCAATGCAATCCATATCAAGCTACCAACGGTATTCTTCACAGAACTAGAACAAATAATTTCACATTTTGTATAAATACAAAAATCCTCAAATAGCAAAAGCAATCTTGAGAAAGAAGAATGGAACTGGACGAATCAACCTGCCTGACTTCAGGCTCTACTACAAAGCCACAGTCATCAAGACAGGATGGTACTGGCACAAAGACAGAACTATAGATCAATGGAACAAAATAGAAAGCCCAGAGAGAAACCCACGTACCTATGGATACCTTATCTTCGACAAAGGAGGCAAGAATATACAATGGAAAAAAGACAACTTCTTTAACAAGTGAAGCTGGGAAAACTGGTCAACCACTTCTAAAAGAATGAAACTAGAACACTTTCTAACAGCATACACAAAAATAAACTCAAAATGGATTAAAGGTCTAAATGTAAGACCAGAAACTATAAAACTCCTAGAGGAGAACATAGGCAAAACACTCTCCGATATAAATCATGGCAAGATCATCTATGACCCACCTCCCAGAATATTGGAAATAAAAGCAAAAATAAACAAATGGGACCTAATTAAACTTAAAAGCTTTTGCACAACATAGGAAACTATAAGCAAGGTGAAAAGACAGCCTTCAGAATGGGAGAAAATAATAGCAACTGAAGAAACAAAGGATTAATCTCAAAAATATACAAGCAACTCCTGCAGCTCAATTCCAGAAAAATAAATGACCCAATCAAAAAATGGGCCAAAGATCTAAACAGACATTTCTCCAAAGATGCCATACAGATGGCTAACAAACACATGAAAAGATGCTCAACATCGCTCATTATCAGAGAAATGCAAATCAAAACCACAATGAGGTACCATTATATGCCAGTCAGAATGGCTGCTATACAAATGTCTACAAGCAATTAATGCTGGAGAGGATGTGGAGAAAAGTGAACCCTCTTACACTGTTGATGGGAATGCAAACTAGTACAGCCACTATGGAAAAAAGTGTGGAGAATCCTTAAAAAAACTGGAAATAGAACTGCCATATGACCCAGCAATCCCACTTCTGGGCTTACACACCGAGGAAACCAGATCTGAAAGAGACACATGCACCCCAATGTTCATCGCAGCACTGTTTATAATAGCCAGGACATGGAAGCAACCTAGATGCCCATCAGCAGACGAATGGATAAGAAAGCTATGGTACATAGACACAATGGAATATTACTCAGCCATTAAAAGGAATACATTTGAATCATTTCTAATGAGATGGACAAAACTGGAGCCCATTATACAGAGTGAAGTAAGCCAGAAAGATAAACACCAATACAGTATACCAACGCATATATATGGAATATAGAAAGATGGTAACGATAACCCTATATGCAAGACAGAAAAAGAGACACAGATGTATAGAACAGACTTCTGCACTCCACGGGAGAAGGCGAAGGTGGGATGATCTGAGAGAACAGCATCGAATCATGTATATTATTAAGTGTGAAACAGATCGCCAGTCCAGGTTGGATGCATGAGACAAGTGCTCAGGGCTGGTGCACTGGGATGACCCAGAGGGATGGGATGGGGAGGGAGGTGCGAGGGGGTTCAGGATGGGGAACACATGTAAATCCATGGCTGATTCGTGTCAATGTATGGCAAGAACCACTACAATATTGTAAAGTAATTAGCCTCCACCTAATAAAAATAAATGAAAAAAAAGAGTCAACCTCCCCCAAAGTGGTTTTGAAATTACACCCTTCAGGCTGTGTCTGGATGGGAAACAACAGCCAACTGTACCTTACCCTGTAGTGCATGTGAGTGTTACACAGTGGATGTGTGACTTTGAGATTTTAAATGAACCAAAATGTGTTCATGGGTTAGTAGAAGTCTAAGGTCATCACTTGAAATAGATGCCTAAATTTAACTGAAGAAGATGTTGTTGTTAAATCACTAAGTTGTGACCAACTCTGCTCCTGTTTTAATTTTGCATTGCCATGGTACTATTTCTAAAACATAATTTTCTTTGTAGCCTGTGTTCTCTAAACAAGATAATTTTCAAGACTTTCTGACACGTATGGCATCTCCACTGAGGGATTTTTACATCGTAGTGGGACGTTCTATCTGTGAAAAGAGGGCAGACTGAGTTATCAGAGCCACGGGGCAGTCTCAGATCTGAGATGAGGGACAGGACACGACACGGCAGGTCGCTGTTCTCAGGACACTCAGATGTGACCACAGGGAGCAAACCACTTAGACCTGGTCCAGTAGGAGCAGCAGTGATCGCCCCGGGGCCAGAGCCCCAGGAGAGTTTCTGCTTTCCCAGCCGAGGGCCCCAACAGCTTCTCTGCTCACTGTGCATAAAATCAATCCCACAGCAGCTGAGCAGAGAAATTCCTGAGTCAGGAATCATTTCCCAGGTCTCAGGACCAGGGTTTCTCTCCCCACCTGATTCCTCACTCGATGGCACACAGGACAGAGTGTGAGGTTTCAGGGGATAAATCAGCCACACGATGGATTCAAAATCCCCTGGGACACAAGGGGAACCTGGGGAGGAGCCCGGAGGGGAAAGCTGGGTCACACCTGAGATGCAGAGCCCTGAGGCTTCTCGGGAAGGAAGGATTAGAGAGGTTTAAGGAGGGGCCGAGGAAGTGAGTGTAAAGTTCAGGAAGATTTGGAAACATGTCCATGATCTTCTGATAGAGTGAACTGGCTCATCACCATGGAGGTCAACACTGTAGGTCTGTAGAAAGAGAGAGGCCCAGGATCGGGAGGAAAGTCATGAATGAGGGGAGCGGGAGGGCAGGCTCTTAGCAAAGAGATGAGGAGGAGCAGGAGCAGGCTGAGCAGAGCTGGAGGGGTGCACGGGGCGGGCTCCGGGGGCTCCTTCCCTCCTCTGTTTCTGAGAAGAGGGTGGGGACTGATGACCACCTCACCCCTTCACCCTCCAATTCTGGGTGCTCGGCTCCACGGGCAGCATCACCCCCAGGAGGAGGCCCAGGGGCCGCGGCTCAGAGTTTGTCCCCTGAGAGGAAGCACCTGCTGTCACGTCCAACTCAGGCCACTGAGCCCGGTGCAGGGTCAGGTCAGGGGACCACGTTGCTGTGTTGAGGTTTTGCCAGTTGTGAGCTAATAAACATCGCCCCCTGGTGACGAATTCTGGAACGTTCATGGTGTTGAAAGGGAGCAAGGTGCTGCTCAGTTGCTTGGTTCTGAATCCTGTCTGACTCTTGGGACCCCATGGACTGGAGCCCACCAGGCTCGTCTGTCCATGGGATTCTCCAGGCAAGAACACTGAAGTGGGTTGCCGTTTCTTGCTCCAGACGATCTTCCCAATGCAGGGATAGAACTCACATCTCTTATGTCTTTTGCATTGGTAGGCGGGTTCTTTACCCCTTGCGACACCTGGGAAGCCTTGTGAGGAAGGGGGGGCAGCCTTTTTACCAGTCACCAAATACCTTACCAATGAACAAATAAATGAATTAAATAATAAATATTACATGTCTTTGATACTATACAGAGAACTTTTTTATTTTCACCCACTGTATTTTCAGGTTATTCTGACAATCTTGTTCTCATGATTCTTTTTTTTCCCCTTCCATTTATCCTTTTCCTTTGGAGCCAAGAGTTTTTCTATTTACTCACCAGATAGATTTGATGATTTGTCCCTAAAAATATCTGTCACCTGATTTCATTATCTGAGGCTCTCAGCATTAATGTCTATGCCGTGTCACTTCCCTTCAATATTTAGTTTCCTGGTTCTTGATAGAAGTGACAATGTTTACTGGATCCTGGACTGTGTGGAAATTACTTGAAGAAACTCTGAGTTCCATTTCCTTTTCCTTTAACAGGAGATCCTACTGTGGTGGAAGGCCAGGGATGTGTGTTCACTGCCCACTGACCCAGCAAGGGCGGCACTGACGCCCCTGCTCTGTGCTGCTGACTCCGACCTGGGAACCAGGGGCAACTTC